GTTATAATCTGAAATTTTTGATAAATAATTTAAATAATGAATTTTAAACAAGCTGCAATTAAAATACAATCACCTGATTAAGTAGATTTTGTATTGTTTGAAATTGGGCATATAATTCACAAGCTTGTAATATTCGTATTTAAATAACATTTATAAATTATTTATTGTAGAGTGCGATTTTGATAATATTGAAAAGTTATTCGATACGGATTCAAACGGTATGCACAACTATAGTTTTATCAAGTTCTAATTTATGATCTGATCTAATATGATAATTGATAGATTTTGGGTTCGAAAAAGTTGATAATACAGTGGAATCTTTTGAATCTTTAAGATATCATGATACTACAGATGGTACGTTAAAGTGTGATACGTAATAAATATGCCAAATTTCTAAATGATACTAACATTTATTTTTAGAAGAATATGTAGCTATTAGTAAAGGTAAGTTGTTATAAATTTAAAATTACCGCATAATTTTCGTCAATTTTATTTATACAAATGTAAATTTTGTGTTGAAATATAGAATCTTGGAAGAAAGATTCAAGTCAAGAGAGCATTAATGAAAGTTGCAGCAGTGTTAAAACAGGTGAAAATGAAAAGATGACCAGGATTACGGATTTATTGTTTTTAATTTTTTCCAGATTACATAATGAAGGTTTTAATGAGGAAGATATTAACAAAAAGATTGAAAGATATATTACTATTAATGGTGAAACACCGAGAAATGTTTTTATTTGGTTATTAAATAACAAATCAAATTCAAAGCAAATATGTCTACTCGGAAGATTTTACCATGGTCGAATTGGAACAAATAAGAATAGTGAGAGGGCATTTAATGCATTCTTTAATGTAAAAGAAAATGCAGGAAAAAAAGAACTTGGTATTGCACAATTTTATCTTGGATATTATTATTATTATGGTATTGGAGTAAAGGAAGATATTAGTAAAGCATTCAAGTATTACTTGGAATCAGCCAATAACGGAAATTCTAACGGACAGGATAAACTTGGAATGTGTTATGAAAATGGAAAGGGTACTCCCAAAGATGAAAAGAAGGCAATTTGTTGTTATTTAATGTCTGCAAGAGGACGGAATGCTTGGGGACAATTTCACCTCGGAAGATGTTATAAGAACGGTGTCGGTGTTGGTAAAAATCAAAAGGAAGCACTTAACTGGTACTTAAAATCTGCCAAAAGTGGAATTTTGGAAGTTGCTAATATATCTAGTAAAATGGAACAAGAAAACCCACAAGCAAAGCTAGTTAGCTCAAATAAATCAGATTTTAATTGCTACATTTGTTCCAATATAGAGGATTCTTTTGAAATATTTTGGCATGGGTATCGTTACAAATATGGAATTAAAATTAAAAAAGATGAATTTAAAGCATTTGCTCACTATCAAAAATCTGCAATTATGGATAATTCTGATGGAGTGTTTCAAGTTGGCAATTGTTATTATTTGGGAATTGGTGTTGAAATCAATAAACTTAAAGCATTTGAATATTATCAAAAATCTGCTAGGATGAATAACACTAAAGGAATGCATAAAGTTTTGATTTGTTACCTCTTTGGAGTTGGTACAATAAAAGATAAAGAGAAAGCCAGAAATTTACTTAAGCTGTAAGTAGACTTTTTAATTACTGCATTCTATTTAAAAAACAATGCGATTATGAATATTATTATTTGGCAATCTTTTTAATTCATATTCGTATTCATGCTATGTAATTTAGTGAGTAAGTATTATAATCTGTAACTCATGTTTTTAAAATTTATTCATTAAATATGCTTTATTCTTGTTAAATTAGTACGTGAGTATCAAAATATTTATTAAGTGTTTCCTATTAAACAATTCACTAAATCATTTATTATTCTAATTTAGTCTGTGAGTATATAAATTATATGCTAATTATGCATTTGTGAAATGAAAAGCTTATATTTTATATATACATAAACTATACGATATCTAATTTAGTGAGTAAGTATTGATAAAAAAATTGATAAATACTGAATTAAAGTTAGCAATTAATTAAGTTCTTATTCATATTGGTTAGTTTGTAAGTATAAAAATTATATACAATACTTAAAAATTGGAGTATCTATAGATAGTGTTGTACATTTATGACTTTCTCGGGTTTTCTACATTATCTCATCCCACCCTGTTCCACTCAATACCTTTCTTCATGACCTTGTCTCAGCATTCTCGTGCACAACACTACCTATAGAAAAATTCAGATAAGATTTTTATAAATATGTTTCTCTGTACTGTAATCATTATGCACAATCTAATTCATATCATGTAATTACTGGGTTAGCGAGTAAGTATTAAATAATAGTTATGCAATGATCTACAAATTTAGTCTACATTTTTACCTAATTGAACAATATTTTCAATATTAATTCAGTCGGTGAGTATATGAGTATAATGAAAATTTTTTTAAACTTAAAATCAGTAATTTGCGCATCATATATATTTATCCATTATTATTTAAATTAGTTTGTAAGTTCGAAATCATTTATTGAACCGCATATTTTTAACTAAATCTAACAATATTTATTTGTGCCAATTTAGTCTGTGAGTATTATGATTATTATCCATCCACATAACATACGATGGATGCTAAAATCAGTTCTTTTAATGATGGTAAATGAAAATGGCCTGAGTTAAAATCATTGCTAATTCAAAACATAATATTCTAAGAATAAGGCTCCTCCAATTAAAATCAAATATTGAGTTTCAATATTTGAAAATATTCGACTTGTTTAAATATTTAAATTTTAAATTTTGTAAGCTTCTTTAGTAAAATTTTTAAGGTCTTAAAGTTTTAAAACTTCAATTAAAAGGTATTTTGGCAACTACTTATTAAAATCTTTTTATTTGAATTCTACAGAACTGCAAATTCAAATAAAAGAGTATTAAATTTGATAAAGTGGGTATTAACGTATTTATGACTGAAGTTTTAGAAGTTTCAGAACTCAGGGATTTATTAAGAAATTTTACAAATTTAAGTTTGAATACTTTATCAAATTAAACTTCAAATATTTAAATTTGAAAAAT